GGGCATTGATTTAGTTGGAGTGGGTTTTTTGAATAGTAAACATGTGTATTGCATAGAAATTGGAGTCAAGAGAGAAATCAAAGAAGAAAAATTACCCAAAATCTGGCTGCTCATAACCACGGTTAACATTTGGAAATGTTTTTCTACTTTACACATCTATCATAAAATTGGGCTCATATATTGGAGACCCCTAATCCAGGAAACTGAAGCCCGAGGCATTCGGCTGCTGCCACCTGCTAGTCTGGCTGGCTGCTCTTCTCCTTTCACAATCCCACCCCCGCTGGAAGCTGCTCTTCCTGTTGATGGATAGGGGATGGGGAGACCACATCTCCTGGCCACATCTGCTTTTTGTTTTATGTTCATACTCTCTTGCCACTTGTAGACTTGCTCTGTAATTACAAACTCATTCCTAGACTTGGATTAGTGCTGTGGCTCTCATTTATTGGGATGCATTGGGAAGAACTGACCCAGAACCTGTAGTCCTGCCTGCCTACTGGTTGTGGGTCATGGGGGTGGAGGTGAGGTGGAGAGTCTTCCACTTGCAAAATCAATATTAGTTTAAAATTGTATACAGGGAACATTATGTAATGGTAATCAAGAATCTCAAGGCCATTTTTATTGTAAACACTATTTCAAGATGATGTAAAATCAACTCTTGCTAGGAAGTGACAGATGTGACCATGTTCTGACAATCTGGAAATTCTTGGGCTTTCTAGTCTGTGGGGTTCACTTTTTTACTGAATGCTCACCAGTGGGCATGTTCTCTCATTTGCTGAGATGGGGCTTCCTTGGAGATAGTGTCAGAAAAGTAAAGGCTCAAACACTGAAGAATAAGCTGCTTTGCTGGCATGCAGTCACTCACTTCTTCACACTTTCTGTTTGGCTCACTTTCTGGCATTTGCTAGGTGCTCAGGAAATTTTTCATATAAAGTAGTGAGTAAATTAATGACTGAAGGTGTTGAGCCAAGCCACTTTCCTGTTACTAGAAGCTATCTGTCCTTAATAACTGCTCTCATTTTTGTCCTTTCTCAGTTGGAATCAACGACCTCTGGAAAGATGCCTTTTATGTCACCAGGACAACAGGGCCAATCTCTGAAGGGCATCCAGCACCCCTGGTGGTCAGCAAACTTAGTCTGCGGTGGGCATTGATGGAGGGCCAAATGGTCCAGCTGAAGGAGACCACCCCCAAAATTGGCCGTGGGGAGCTGAGAAGATTCCTTTCTAGGATAAAATTTGTTGATTCTCCCTACCAGGTGAATAGCTTCTGAGATCCTTAGTTATTATTTTTTTGATCGGGGGGCATAGAGTGCCGGGGATTGAACTCAGAGGCACTCAACCACTGAGCCACATCCCCAGTCCTATCTTGTCTTTTATTTAGAGACAGGGTCTCACTGAGTTGCTTAGCACCTCACTTTTGCTGAGGCTGGCTTTGAACTTGGAATCCTCCTGCCTCAACCATGAAGACATAGTTCTCAAGTTAATTGTTCTCAGCTAGAAATGGTGTCATCTCCCATAGGAGACATTTGAAAGAATGTGGTCCCAATGACTGAAAGGAATGGATCCTACTGGTATTTTTTGGGTAGGAGCCAGTAATGTGGGCATTATGCAGGGCTGGCCAGAGTCACACACTACACAGAATTATCTTGCTGAAAATGCTTTAGTTCAAAGCTCAAGAGCTTATCATGCAGAAGAACAAAGTCTCTGGGCCTTTTTTGGAGGGAAGAGAGATTCTTATAAACTTTTGGGACTAAACAAAAGGAAATGGAGGAATATTCTGACCTTCCATTTCTTTGAGAATTCTTACCATGAAAAAGTGTCACTGATGCTTCTACCTTTTCCTGCAGATCTAGTCTGATGAAATCTTCGGTTTCAGAAGAGATAAACAGAACGGATCCCTTCTGTCAGTGTAAAAGCAGTTCTTTGGAAAGAAGACGACTTTGGCCTCATTTTAGTACTCTTTTGTGATCCTTGCACTTTGGAAGGCCTGTTGGAGCTTTTTGATAACAGCATGATTCGCTTGGCTGGGGTATCTTACCACCTTTCCAATCCTTGTATTAATCCTCTCTAGGAAGTCAGTGTGGAGAATTTGAAAATGTGAATCTTATAGATGTATTATTATTTTGTATGTCTAATTTATAAACTGTTGCTGGGAAATCCAGTGAAGATGATGGCTAGGAAATATTTTGTTTCACATTATGCTATTTGTATTTTTTAATGTTGTGGTGATGTTATTTTCCAGACATTCCCTAAGATTCAGGGATCCCATTTCCTGTCCTCCTGAAATACATCTGGTCTGGTCATCTTGAGACTTCCAGATGGCCCAATTCTGATTTTGAGGATCATTCGTCTTTCTCTCCTTCCACTTTTACCATGGCTACTTCCCTCCCAACTCTAGAGAGCAGTGATACAGATTGATAGTGGAGGACTGTTAGCCATGTCATGTTTTCATCTATGCCTTTCCTAGATTTGCCATCTACATCAAAGTGGCCATAATAATAAATGTCCCTATCACAATGGGAGCAAGAAAAATATGGTTTCAATGACCCACCTCTGACGAGGTTTATATGTGGTGTTGTATGGGGTCTCAATGGCTCTGCCATTTGTGGTTCTTGTTGCTGCAGTAACGTCAGAGGGTATATGTGTCTGCTGTCTTCAATTCAGACCTGGAAGCCAGGTCCTGGGAGGCCTGTGTCCTTGTCCTGCTGCATTTTCACTCTGCTTTCTTAGCATCTTCTCCTAGGACATCCTCCTCCTCTTCCCTCCCCTGTTTCTCTATTTTATTCAGGGATATGTTCTGGACTTCCTTTGCTACTTGAGTCCAGTGTGCAAACCCCTCTGCCCTGCACCTCTCCTTCCTGTACAGCCTTTGAAGCATTGTATTTTGAGAAAATTCTTATGTAAATACTATAACTTTTGTAAATGCTCAAGTTCTTTAGAATTATCTCCAGTGTTTATTTCCCCTTTCTTCTATGTAAATTTGTTGCATCTATTTAAAATTCTCTCCTAAACTTCTAGGCCATTGTCATTGTCTGTATAGCAGAGAATTCCATGATAGCTGATGGAAAAATGCTTTTCTTCTTAACTTTGATAGGTCTGCCCTGAAAATCAGGTTCTCTTCTTGCTTGGGCTTATATCTTTCTAGTTTGTATTAATTAAGGAGCTCCAGGAAAGTATGGATTCCAGATTTAAAGGGATACCTGTTAGTCGCCCAGGGATAGTTATTGTGACATAACTGGAGGTTGGCAGCAATAAATCCAAGCAGGCACATCATGTGACCTGTGTACTGTCTGGCCTGTAGCTTGGCCTCAATAGGTTTCTAGGTACCGCTGCCTTAAGACCCAGAAAGCATATTCAATTTCAATACTTTGGAAGTATGTGCGTCCAACTGACTCTTTGAAGGAATAATGAAGAGGATACCTGGGTATGGAGGTGATCCCAGATTCAAAATTTAAATCTACTTAAGTGTAAATGCCTATAAGTAATTTTTAGTAGACTGAACCCCAAAATGGTGTTGTTCCTGTGGCTTGCTGAGCCACCTAGACATAACTACCAAGTTGAGGCTTTCTGGGAAGCCAGCCAAAATAGTAGACAATGCAAAGTTGTTTACTGGGGACTTGTTTTGGTGGGATTGTTTCAGCAGAGGACTGTTTGTAGAGTGTGAGTTTCAGACACAGATAAGAGGAAGAATAACGTTGCTGAATTCTCCTTGGTGTTTTGGGAGCTAACTTAACTTCTCCTTACAAGTTTGAATCTTTGCTTGCTAAATGCAATGAAAGTTCCACGTTTACTTCCTCTTGCAGCTAGTACATAAGGATATCAGTAGTGGCTGGAAACTGACCAATGTGGGTGCTGATCTCTTGTCAAATGTGTCCCTAAACTTCCTTCTTCTTGAAGACAGCCATCCACCCAGAGATCCAAGATAGGAAGTGCTCCTTTCTCTCCATAATCCCAACATGGGGGTGCCGGGCAAAGCCCATACGACCACTATTTAGAAGTAGTAATGATTTCTGCAATGCGAGGGTCTTCCCTGCCTCTCAGTCTCCCCTCTCCTTCCCTTTGTAAACCCTCCCCTCTGTCCTAGACAACATCCTCACCCTCTTCCAATGTGTGGTCTGGTGATACCAACTAACCCCATGAATGTGAATTGCTATCCTTATTGCCCACATCAAAGATAAGCCTGCTGGTCTGTTGTCAAGAAAGACTATTTAAAATGTGAACTGTTACTGAACAAATAAATACCATGTACAGGAATACACTTGTGTGCCATTCTCATTCTTCTTGCTATCAAGGATGGAATAGAGAATGGGGGAGTGGATGGATGGCATTCTTTGTGGAGGAATAGCAGAGCAAGTTTCTCAGAAGGGATGAGCAGATGGGCGTCTAGAGAGGAGCCTCTGCTCCCATCTCAGTCACTGGAGAAGCCCCTATATGATTCTCTTCTGGGAACCATACCCATCTGATTAGCCTTGGTAGGCTGTTTCTAGAAGTGGACTGCATGAGCCTTCTCACATCACACTACCCTTCTAATTGTTTCTAGAATAATATTTAATAACACCTTTATTGGGATCTACTGTGTGGATGCAGGAAATTGTAATAAGCAGTGTGAAGGACACCTGCCCTTCAAATCAGCATGCTCAGTAGTGCTTCCATCTTACAGTCTGACTTCTGGGAAAATTTCAGTGGAAATTGAACTCCAATCAAATTACTGTTAATTTGCTCACTTTATTTCTCTCTAATTTTCAGACTGATAAGCTGGTTTATAAGACCCTTAAAATCAGGAGCTGTATTTGACTCTCCCTTTATCACCATTGCTTAGTCCAGAACCTGGCACATAAGCAATTGGCAAGAGAGAAATTCTGAGCCAGGATGTACAGAGGATGGAGGACGTGGGACAGAGCTATGGAGGAGAGGGGGCAGTTGTAGTGTCCCTTTGGACTTTGACTTTAAGATACCCTTATTCTTAGCCTCTAAAAAAATAACGCAAGAGACAGTTTGGCTTAAGCTGCTGTTTATAATGAACAAATACGTGTAAGGTAGGGCTCAGCCTGCTCTCCAAACCCACTTAACTACTAGCACTGCTCTTCTATGGATGACCCAACCACTTCTTTCAGCTCCTGGCTGGTCCCTTGTTGAAATCTCTGGTCTTGTAGTGCTGAGTAGAAGTCAGCACTTTCAGAGATGGAGTGGATGGGCTGGTTGTGGTATTGGTGGTAGCTTGTGGGAGGACCTCTGGGGTGGGTTGTACATGACTGCTGCTGAGGGAAGCACCGGTGGTGATGGAGTAGGCAACCTGGGTTTTCTTTGAAGGTCTTACTATGTCTGCATTTGAACTCCAGGACCATCCTGGTGTATGTGTTGAAAGTGGTGACAGCAGATGCCATGCAGCAGGTGAAGGAAACCCAGGCCGTGCTAGGGACAAACACACAAAAGGGACAGTAAGAATCTGACTTTCCCCAGTACCGAAAAAAAAAATTATATATATATAAAATCTGACTTTCTTGAAAGTCAGATTTTTCTATCGGCATACTAGGCTGGTGTCTCTTGGGAACTAAGGAGCTTGAGTATGCTGCTTTTCATCATGATTCACATAAACAACTATAAACGAGGACAATTTGGTATGTCTTGGTGTGGGGGGGTACAGACTGTTTTGTAATTGATGAGACTGACTCATGTAGTACTAAAATCAGACAAGGGATTTAATGGATTTATTTTCACTGAATTGATTAGTTGTCAGTGCCATGCTCTTAAACCTGATGGTGTGCCTGTGTGTGTGTGTGTAATTTTAACTCTTGTTTCCAAAGCTGCAGTTACCCTTTTATCTCTCCGAGATACCACAGATCTGCAGCTCAACTGGATATGGTGGACATGATAGACATGACCTAATGCCCTTTTTCCCCCTTCTCCTTTCTTCACTCAGATGCCAGGAGGAATCATCCCTCTTCCACTTTTTTTTTTTAACTTAATAGTCTTAGGTCCACAAAGTTATGGAATAATGTAGGAAAATTTTACTACAAACCTGAAGGTATTTTGTGTGTGATACTAGGGGGGGTCTGCTTATTATGAAACACTGTTGGTCTTGGCTTAAGGTATTTTATAATGGATGCTGGAGGTTAAGAGAAGCTGAATGGATTCAAGAAAGAAAAAAGAAAAAAAAAACCACCAGGGAACTACATCAAACTCATTTCTAAAAATTTGGAAAGCTAAATCTCTGAATCTCCCTGTGATTCTGGGAAGCTTAGGTAACAGGAAGTTTTGCGAGGTTAGGTGGGATTTCATGAGGCCAAGTGATGCTTAAAGCCATGCCACAGCTGGTGGGAAGTAGATTCAGGCTGGGTTGCTTCTGAGAGTTTTTCAGTCTAAGCTCCACAACTGAAATGCCAGGAATGACTTGAAGAGATACAAAAGGTGAGAAACGCTGGGTAGAGGAAGTGAACTAAGCCGATGATGTGGCTGGAAGACTAAGGACTCCTGAATCAAAGGGCACATATTGCACCACAAGAAAAGTGGGTAGGCTCTCATTCCAGACATGGGTAGGTTTCCACAGTGCCTTCTTAGAAGTGCAAACTTGAGTCAAACTGTCAAACTAATTTTTTTTTGAAGAGAATAACTGTGGATGAGAAGTTTTTATTTCTAACATAGTTTGGTAAAGATAAGAATGGAGAAAGGTGCAAGAAGTTACTCTTGCACCTTTGGCTTGAGTTTAGAATGAAAGGGGAGAGAATTTGGTTGATGAGCCATTGAAAAAATGATCAAATCAAATTGATTTGATCCATTTGAATTGATGGAATTCAATCCAAATTTCAAAGCCAATTATCCTTTGTTTCTCTGAGACTTTGAATCATGAACTATAAGGAAATGTACAGTATCATTTTCATAAGTCACATAAAATCAGTTTCATTTCACAAGGGAAACGAACATTTCAAGTGAAGAAGAGATTGCTAAAGCTGGTGATCAGGAAAATGGGAGGAGGTCATATCCTCACAAAGTCAGCCAGAGGAATGTTCTCTGCACACCCTGGGAAGCAGGTAAAGAGTAGAGGTTCTGATGATCCAGCCCCACGTTTGGCTGGCAGACTTGTGAGATGAGGCATGAAGAGAAAGCAGGAGGACATGGAATGAGTATCTAGCTGAGGGTAGAAACTCTATCGAAGGAGGGGCTAAAAAGATGACCAGCACTTACTAGAAGGCCCAGCCATAATTCCAAGAATGTGGTCTCCAGTCTTCTGGACCCACGTTGGCAGTTGCCTGGAAGACTTGGGAATACATCATATGGGCCACCATCCCCAGAAGGCCTACAGAGGGAAGAGGAAGGCAGAGCCCTTGGAGAAGGGCTGCCTTTGCCATCATCAGGAAGACGATTTTGGAACCGCCTATGTTATGGCATCTGTTGCTCTTAGGCCATCACATTTCCCAGAAGACTATAAGCAGCAATGGGGGCTTCTTTTTGAATGCGTAACTTGGCCCCAGATTTCAGGGTGAGTACTATGGAAGAAAGCCTCTGAGTCAGTACTGCACCCAGGACCACCACATCCTTTGACTTCTTCCCACCCCACTCTTTGTTCTTTATATTATATATAACAGTCTTGAAAAGCTATGCCTATGTCACAATCTGAGAGTACCACACCAGAGGTTTCACATATTGAGAAAACTTTCAAGTATAGGAATCTAGAAGCAAATCATTTTGTAAAGTACACATTGATCCAAGCCAGTTTGAGGCTAGCCTTGAGACCCCATCTCAAAATAAAAAAATAAAAGGGGGTGGGTGTAGCTAGCTCAGTGGTAAAGCCCTTGGGTTCAGTCCCCAGTACCAGACCAAAAAATAAATAAAAAATAGAGAGAAAAGAAAAAACCCTCAATGATCCAATATATAATTTCATGTGTTATCGTTATTTCCATTTTAAATGAAAGATGCCTATTAAAGTTATCTTTTACCTCCACTCTATATTGCCTTTAGGCTCCTCCTCCCTCTGCTTAAGAACCAAGACCCAAGCCCTCCTGCTTGTGCTTCAAAGCAGATGGAGGACAGCCGCCCACTTTCACCGTGGGGGTCACTCACCTGACAAAACAGAGGCAATGGCTGCAAAGGCGCTCAGCTTAAGCCCACAGCCAGGGTTCCCTGTGAGCAGTAAGTCCATCAGGAGCAGGAGGAAGCTGATGAACTCAAGGCCAATGTACGTGATTTGGGCTCCCAGTGATAACCAGAGGATCTCTGTTAGAAACCAAAGGAAGAAGGAACCTCAGCCAGACGGTTAAATAACTGAACCAACAACCATCACAGGGCACCCTCCAGAAGTTAGAAGCCCGGCAGTGTAGGAGAAGGGGAGAAGGAGGCAAAGCTGGAAACAATTACTTCATTTTGAGGTCTTTGCTCTTACCCTGCAGTTCCTGCTATGTGCAGCATCTAACGTATAATCAAGTAAACTTGATGGACAATAATAGTTTTAGGGAGATTTTGGGGGGGGGGGATCGCCTAATTTCCATAAATCTAGGGATGTAACTTTGCTATATCATTTTGTCTTTTTCTTTATATAAGTTTGGGATAATCAGCTTTGTTTCCTTTCTCCTTTCTTTCTTCCCTCCTCCTATTACTTCCTTTTCATTATAAATAAATAAATAAATAAATTTTAAAAAAAGGGATGGGAGAAAATAAAGGAAAAAAAAAACTTGAGCTTTTTAATGCAGTTTCTTGGCCACAGCTAGCTGCTGGTTTCCTGTTTATGAACTTTACTTGTCCCTCTGTTGTTCCCATTTTGCATTCATGCATATGAATTGCATATGAATGAAAGTCAGCTTTAGGAGTAATTTATGGCAGTAGGGCTCAGAAGAAGAGAAAAGCAGAAGATCACAGTGTAGTTTAGATCCAGAGAGGCCCCAATCAATGATAACTAAATTCAATAACTAAATTCCTTATCGAACACATACTTGCCACAAGCCCCAAGGGAAGGTGGGGGAGGAAAGCCTTCTCCTTCAACCACTCCCCTCCAAATCGGAGAGTGGGGTGACATGGGCCTTGCAACGTGGCAAATTCCAGTAGTCCTTTCTCACCTCTCTCGGCTGGTGGTGTGAGTTCAATGAAACTTCGGCACCTCTCCCCTGAAACACAAGACACGACTTCATAGGAGTGCTTCCCTGGACAGTTGGGATGAAAGCCTTTCCCATCCCACATCCATCTGCTCTAACAGGGTGCCTTGCATATAGTAGGCATTTAATGTCTCATTTTGAAAGCAGGAAAGAATGCATGGATGAATATGAATGGCACAGGCAAGAATCATCCAAGCTAACTTCTCTCTTCTCCCTTCTGATAATGAAGATGAGAGTGCCTACACAGGCGAACATTCCCATTTCCTCTCAGGAAGAGTGCATGATCCTGCTGTGAACAAATGCCTTTTGAAGCCACTATACCACTGGATCAAATGTCTCTAAATTGTTTCCAGGGCTGTGGTTGAAGCAGTGCTAAGTGGCAAAATAATAAAGATAAAATGCCAACACATACATTTTTATTCCTCTTCCATTTCCTTTTCTCCTTAGTCCAGTTTGGGAGAAATAGCAGATCTCAAATTGAGTATGATTCTGAATGACCTTTGAAGGTCACAAGGTGATCTTATTCTCTCTCAGCTGAGGAATATATGCTGACTAGGGCATGTTGACAGTGTGGCAAGAGACCTTGGAGCAACTGTCTAAAGCTACTCCAGAGAGTCCTTACAAGATCCAGTACCCTCTCTGAGCCTTGGTTCCCCCAGTCTTTTAAATTGTAACAGTAATCCCTTAGAATGAGAATTCGATCTTGTGGGGAGAGGGGAAGGAAGAGGCTTTTAGAGATGATCTACAATGATCCTTTCATCTCTCAAATGAGAAAATCAAGGCTTACGGAAATGCAGTTACCCATATAAGATCACAGTTGGGTAGAGCTTGGGTTTTTTTCTACAATATTTCTCTCTCCTTGTTTTGTTTCGCAATTCTAGCTCACTAGAATGGAAATTTTAACATGAGAGGATTAAATGATTGAAACTCTTAAGGTTAATGCTATTTTAAATATGCTATGTTAAACCAGCAAACAGAGCCAGTTATGGTGGTGCATGCCTGTAATCCCAGCTATTGGGAGACTGAGGCAGGAGGATCTGGATTTCAAGGCCAGCCTGGGCAACTTAGTGAGATCCCAACTCAAAATGAACAAACAATCAAAAAATGAAACACCACCACCACCAATAACAAAAAAATAAAACAAAAGCACAAATAACCCAGAAGGTCTACTAAAGAACGGGGGTGAGAATCTAGAAGGACTTTTGGACTTATTAAAAGAGGCTATGGATGTAGAAGGTGCAGAGCAGGGGGTCGGGGATGAGGCTCATCTGGGTTTAGGTAAGTGCAGTACTTTTCACTGCTGCCCAGCTCTAAGCTATCCTAAATGGTTTCCTTGCCTCATAAGATTCCTTGCTCCCTTGTAAATAAAATAAAATATAAAATACGAAATAAAATAAATGAAGTTGAAGGTGAGGAGGCTACCTGGTTCTTCCATGGTTTCCTCACAGGATAGCCACATGCCACTCCGGAAGGTAAGGAAGGAGAACCGGTCATCCCCAGTCTCCCAGCTGTATTGAACCACCTCCGGGGTTGATGCGTTGGAGAAGCTGCCCTCCAGGGACATTGGCATGTCAAAGCATTTGGCTGCCAGACTTTTTCCGCACAGGGGCTTAGGCACCTTCTGTGTGCCCACAAACCAGGAGCTGCTGAGCAGGGATGTTGTGGAGAGGCTGAGTGATAGCAGGCTGAGGGCTGCAGATATGAATGTCCGTTGGCCAGAGAAGCCCTTCGTGAGTTCCATCTGTAACACACAAACACAAGAGAAGGGAGGGGAGCTGGAGAGCCTGCGGTCTCTGAGTCTCCTCTGAGATGTGAACCTGCTTCCTTCTCCTTCAAGCCTGATAGGCAGAACCAGTCTCTATGGCCCATGTGCCTCTGGCTGGAACCCCTGCTTGCCTACTCATTTTTAGCCTTTGAAGAAGGTGATCTAAAAAATAACCAATATTAAACTTGCAACCTTGTTGAGTAGTGGTTTGGAGCTAGATTTAAAAACAAAAAATTAACGACAGTTCTTGTGCTTTGTGTTATGCAGCAACGTATGCTGTTACGTCGATGCACACTGAACAGGAAGAAAGCCTGCATGCGCTTAGTTGCCGACAGACACTCCTTAAAGTAAACCATCTTGAGCTTTTCAGGGGATCTTTCATATCAGAATTAATCAGACCTAGATCTTCTTAGCTGAAGAGATGTAAATAAAACCAGTTAAATGGACAGGTCCCAAAATCTGCCTGTCTCTTCACCCCCAGCTTAACAGTTTTTATATTTAACAGAGAACTTTGACCAAGAACCATAATAGCTTGTTCTTTAGAATTTCCAGGGACTAATACAGTATACACCATAGACAAAGTGTGTATTATTTATGGCAGTAAAAAAATACATAAGGCTTTTGTCATTGTTCTGGTACTATGAATTATACTTTCTAATTATCCTTATACCCATTGCTCAAATAGGAAATGGACTTCTAGCTAAAATATTTTCATGGATCATTCTGTGTAAAGACTGAACTAAGAATTTGTAAATTTGTAACCTCAGGGTTTGTTTTCAATAGCTATTTTCAGTCTTATTTGGTTTGGAAATTTGTCTACTATCACATCAGATTTTTAACTCTAGCCTCAATCCATTTTGAGTTACACATATTTGTAAATTATTCTCTAGGTTATTCAGAAATAAGAAATAGAGGTGTACCTACCTTGTGACATAAGGTGACACCAAGTTAAGAGGCAATTTGAGAAAAGATAAAGAGCTTGAATTAGCTCAAAGAGGCTCCCCCCCTTCCAGAACAAGTGCCCGTGGTTAGATGCAAGGAGCCCCCTTCAAGAAGAAGCATACACCACAGACAAAGCGCACATTATTTATGAACATGTATATAAAAACCAAAATACAAAATGAGATAAAACAGTTTTTGGAAAGCAATCTGCTAAGGTGATTTTTGATGCTTGATAAACCGAGTGATCATCTCACTTGATGCTTCTCAAGAATTCTCTTCAATATTATGCTGCCACACTCTTTGTCACATACCTTTTTTTCTCTGGAATCCAGATACCTCTTGAAAGAGCAAATCTCATTTTACAGTGGGTTCCTTAAAGTTATCCTGGAGAAATATTGCCATAAGAAAAGCTATATCTTTCCATATGCTGACAGAACCCAGGCCAAGGAATAGAGTGGCTTCTCTAACACTCAGGCTTAGATCACTAGGATATGTCAGCAATTCTTCTATCAACATATATTAACAGAAAAACAGCATTAACACAGGCTAGAAAGGACAACAAATGGATGAGATGATCACACCTTTTAAAAGAACAAATGCGGTACAGCTGTAGAATAAAGATGGTTACCTTGGCCATGGTCAGCATCTTGCAGCCGGTCTGGATGGATGGAAGGATGCCATCTGGGTTGCAATGCCTTTTGATTTAGTGTTCCAAGAATGAAAATGCCTTCCCACCCCTCCCTTCCCATCCCATAGGTTTTGGAGTGCTTCTTGATTAAATGCTGACTTACAGTGAACATGGGCATTTAATAATTGACAATGTAGTCACAGCCCAGCTGTTCTGGGTGATTATGCCAGATAGCTTGCCAGTGGGGACCTGGGATTAAGCACAAAGAGGAAAAGATCTGTGTTTACAGAGGGAACTTATTTATTTTAAGTAAATGATTTAGTTTCCATCTACTTGCCATTCCCCTAGATAACTGGTGTGAATGGGCTGGGCTTGATTTTATGAAATCCACAGAAAATATTATAGGGCCACTGTTACTACCCAGGTTCCTATTTCCTTGAGTGGAGCTTTCTGTTCCTTTGAAGGAGCTCTATTATCTGCAATGTCTTTGGGGAGATATGGACATGGAATAATTTCCTCTTCCACGGGTGGTCTCTTTTAGATATGGTAGTGTCAATTAGTAAGCATTAAGTACCTGTGTCCATATGGAACCCTCAGAGAAAGGAAGAGTGGGTTAGGTCACAATGGCAGTAAGGATGAGATTCCATAGTTCTTTTGGGGGAAGGTCCAGTAATTTAGAAAGATCTTACTATATTTGGGGAACTAATATAAAATGACAATTGTTCAGCTCATTTTGGGCATCAATTTAACAAAGCTCTTTATAGAATTTCCTTCCTTCCCTATCTCTTCTGGACTAGCCACTAAGTTACATTTTTCCCATTCTATATTTGTCTTCATAGGGAATCAAAGACAAATTAACTTTAAGTTAACCTTAAGCATTGGAATTTTTCCATGTTCTAGGCAAATGAGTCTCTTTGGATCCTGTTTTCATCACCCAATATATTCTCTCCTCTTCCCAGATTGATGCTAACAAGCAAATTTGATACAAATGTGCTTATGTCCAGCCATATTTTATGTTATCACCCAAACAGTCCTTTACTTCTTGTGACAGAACTTGCTTGCCTCTGGGAAAAGGGAATTTGTGGTAACATTTGCAGCCGAATAGGCTGATTCTTTCCTGGAGACATGGCTTCCTCACAACGCTGGGTGGCGCTATCCCCTCACATTTTTTCCTCTTCTGTCCAGAGCTTTCTCCACCAGTCAGGAAAAATGTGGGTGGAGGTGACTGTTCTCCCTATAGGACTGCATTCTTCATTTGGCCTCCTCCCTGCACACTAATCTACAGAATGCCATGTGTCAGCCTGATGGAATTCAGGGCTCGGGGTGAACTTTGCGGGGCATCCAGTCATACCCTGGAGGACCTCTTTTTTATGATTATTTCCTATAGCACATTTTATTGTGGTCAGTTCTAATTTTCAGTGACTCAATAGATCCTCAAATACTTTCCATGGGAAATACAACTTCACGGTATCAGAAAATACAACTAGCCAATATTTCCTGATGAGTTTTGTGCACATTTTTCTCTACTTAATTGTATCCTCATTTTCTCCCACCCCAGAACAGTGAACAATTCTTTTCCTCTTTCTGTGCTTACACCCTTCAAATACTTGCAGACACTTCTCATATCCAGCTTGAGTCACTGTTTGGCACAGCCTTATGTCTTCAGTTTTTATTGCTTCTGCTCATAAACCGCACCCCCTATGCCTTAATAGCCTGAAGTTTGTCTTCTCCAGGGAAAAGGGGATGGGAGTGGCAGAGTCTTAAGTGTGTTACATGATGAGGCCCAGCGCGGATTCAGACTGAAGCTAATGAAACTTCAGCTCTGTGGTCCCCTACTTACTTGGGCTGCTTCCAAGACTTTGTTACCTAATTCAAACTTGTAATTTTGTATTATTTTTCTTAAAGAGGGCCTCCAAAATGATATTATTTTAGGTTTCCACAAAGCAAGCCTGGATCCACCCCTTCTGAGGCTATGCCTTTTGGGTGGGTGCTTGGATGTACTGGCTCTTGGATGTGACCAGTCTTGGCCTCCCTCTCCCTAAGAGCTGTGGGCCATAGCATCTAATTTTCTCTTTTTAACAAAATGCGAAGTTTCTCTGCCTGGCCAGACAAATCCGAGCCCAGCATACTCTTCACTTCCTTTCATTGTAATTTGGGCATGTTAATATTTTTTCTTCCATTTCCTTTCTTAGAACAGAAAAAGTAATTGCTAGTCAATGTAACATAAATATAATTAGGCCAGGCTCAGAAGCTCATGACTCAGCACAAAGATTCTACATTTGAAAACAGTATTTAACTTTAGTGTGTTGGACTGTTACTACTTCAGGATGACTGCCACAGAGACATGTACACACTTCACCATTTATGACATCACAAAAACCATGGTCTGGCTAATTTGCATTTGTTAAGATTCTTGTTGTTCTCTTTACTGCATAAAACCACATTAATTAGATAAAGAGAAGCCATGGTCTTGGCATACCTAAGTTGTAGGCAGAAATTCATTGTTTTGTGAATGTGCTGTAGATTAGAGGTGGATGAAATGAGGGGTAAAATGCTGGGCCAGAGCAGGTTGTATACTACACTCCTTCTCTAATGCCCAAGCTGGGGCTAAGAGATCCAGTCTTATCCTTAATACAATTATCCTTACTGGTATCTCCTTGTTTGCCTTTCCTGATAGTGGTTTTTCTGTCCCTTTCCCAGGAGCCATATTTCTGACCCCATGGACTCCTTTTTGTTATTCAATAGACAAAAGTGGAATTTTGGAGTGGAATTTAAGTGATTCTGCTCTTACTGGCTCTGATGGACATGGCCTTGTTCTCGGCTCCTATATGTTCTGATGCACAGGGCTCTCCTGTAATTTATCACATGGTTTTGTCTGTTACCCTCATTTGACTTTAAAATTGCTTGATACAGTAGCAGTCATGTTTTATTCATTGTTGTTCCGCAGAGCTTAGCACACTGTTTTAACACTCCGGAATAAATGAATGAGGTTTATAATGCCCAGGTATTATAAATAATTAGGAAGCCTATGGGTGAATGAAGAAGCATGTCCAGATATCCTTCTGTTGCTAAAGCAGACAGGATTCAGCTGATTCACGTGCAAAAGAGTTAAGGGGAAGCTAAAAAAGGTCTATAGGTCCACAGACACACCCTAAGCCTTTCTACACAGATGTACCAAGAGTTTCATCAAACTGATTCTCTGCCAATACATTTCCTCCCACCTGTGGGAACATTCCTCTTTTCTATAAGCAGAGCTCAGAAAACAGCAATGATCTCATGAACGAGTATTATCTTTAGTTCACAGAGATCAGGAGACAAAGTGTTCAAAAGTCGGTGGCCAAAAAAAAAAAAAACAAAAACAAAAAAACCCCAAAATGTCAGTGATAGATTGGAAATGTTATGTCTTTTTCCAAGCTGGGTGATTCCCTACTGATTAGACCCCTCTGGATGAGGCATCTAGAACGTTCTGAGATTTTGCTGCTTTAATTACAATTTTTAACTTCAGCGTGGGACATTTGATTTTCTTAATATTTATTTTTTGTAGTTGGACACAATGCCTTTATTTTATTTTTATGTGGTGCTGAGGATTGAACCCAGGGTCTCGCACGCGCTAGGTGAGCGCTCTACCGCTGAGCCACAACCCCAGCCCTACATTTGACTAATTTACTGATGAAATTAAGGTCTTCATATGGGATACTTTCCAGAAGGGAAGGGAAGAAGGGCCACCAAAATGCCCTTGCTGAGTACTATTCATGTTCAGGACAGGATTCAGCTCTGACTTCTCAACTTCAGACTAATGATTCTCAACGGTGCCCTAGTGTAAAGGCCCACCAGAACTCCAAATGTTCGAACAACAAATGTCTTCCTAGTCTTCCTAACGGGGTGCCCAGGGCTGGGAACACCTCCACTCATGTTCAGCCGGGAGGACCAAAGGAAGGCTGTGTGGGGCCTCTCTTTGGCCTTTCCCTTTCCGCTTTTTAATGGAATTGTTTGAGGGCTTTTGCTAATGCAGTCATTTCCAGGAGAGGAAGCCGCCTTTCTTCCATACCCTAGCAGCTGGAGTGAATCAGAGGGGGCACCCACATCTGCACATCCTGTGGGGCAATCGCTCACGCGCGGGTGACGGCGCCAGCAGGGCCGTCTGGGGACTCTTGGGGACCGCGGGGTGGGGATGAGCAAGAGGGGTGCTCAGGGCGCGGCTGCCCACAGGCCGAGCTGGGCGGCCCCGCTTCCATTTCCGCGTGCGCCCCTCTCGTCCCGCCTTTTCCTGTTCTCTCCCCGCTCCCTCCCCCGTCTGTCTGTCCCGGTCCCGAGCTCAGCCCGCGTCCCCACCCGTTCCCTCGGCCCAACCCGAGCTCCAACGCCGCTCCGAGCGTTTACTATGGCGCCCCGGTTGCCTAGCAGCGGGCGCGCGTTGCCAGGCGACGTGTTTTGAATTGTTGGTCCAGGCCCCGCCCTAGCCGCTTCCGACCGTTTCGGCTTCAGGGCTGGGGGGAGGGGCGGGGAGCCCGGCCGAGGCCGCCTCAGGGCTGGAGCCGGGCTGGGCGGCGGGGCTGCCTAGTGGCTGCCTGGCTCGGGCTCCTGGAGCGAGGGAAGAGCCTGGGTAGTGACATAAAACCCTCGCACCTGTGGGCCAGCAGAGAGGAGCTCCGCGCTCCTCACCTTGGGGGCATTTCCCGGCCCCGACCTTCCTCGTCCCTAACAATGCAGGTCCCCGCCCGTTTGGCCTCCTTAGGTGGATCCAAGAGGGGAGCTTCGGGACCACCAGCCCCTCAGCTGATCTGAGTTCTAGTCACTACTCCCCGCCCCAGGGCTGTACTGGGGATTTTGGCCCACCCCCAGCCCCCAGGCCTCCTCCGCAGTTCTACCCTGGAGATGGAGAGGTGGAGGGAAACGGAGCCTGGGAAGTTAGCTGGCACCTAGGGTCTTCACGAGCCTCTTCAATCCTCCCACCCAGTCGCCAAGAGAGGTGGCACCTCCATACTACAAGCGAGGGCTCAGATTCAGGGCGTTTGACTTGCTCAAGGCCACAAAGCTAATAAATGGTGGAGTCAGTATTCAGAACCTCTTAACACCGTGTCCCTGACTCATCACCCGCTTAGTCACCTTTAAAAATTCACAGATTGCCGGCCAGATTGTGGGAACTCCTACAGAATGAGGCTGCAGATTAAGTGTACTATACTTTATACTTCTGAGGTGTATGTTAGCAAACAGACTCTCCCTTACTCCCTCCGTCTCTCCTAGAAAACTGATGAAAAAGATAAAGTCAAGCCATTACTGGCTTTCATTTTCACATCTACTTGAGGGTACTCCTATTTATGGTCTATTTACTTTGAGCTGCTTTTGAATTGGGGAAGCTGCCCAAAGCCTACTCTCTGATGGCTTTTCAGAACTACTGTCTCTCTTCCTGGCCATCCTAGAGACCCAGAAGCGACTCTTACTAGGTTATCCTTTCTTTCCGAGCAGTAGAATTTCCAGTACAATACATTGTTTCCTGTGTGTGTGTTTTAGTTTCTTGACTAATCATAAGCTTCATTTTTTTCTTTCATAAGAAAGGCCAGATATTAAAGAATGAACACCCTTTGCTTTTTTTAGTAACACTTTGAGCTGAAAGCTGGCTATCCCAGGTTTGAAGGGAAGCTAGTCGTTTCCACATGTGGCTCCAACCCCAAACAGGGCAAGATCTGTTGTGAGGGTCTTCCTAGGTCTGGAAGAATGATTGATGACTCTCCAGATTCAGGCCAGAAAGAACCGGGGCTATGCTTCCCTCCCCATTTCCAGATCCCAACTGGCTTGGGGATCCTCGCCATTCTCTGGCACAGAAATTCATGCCTCCCCTTTCAATTCCCTAGAGTGATATACACATCTCCATTGTTGCCACCACCACCACTAAGCCATCACTGGGGACCAGATTTTTTTTTTAATTATATATATATTATATATAATAAGTTGTTGATGGACCTTTATTTTATTCATTTATTTATATGTGGTGTTGAGAATCCAACCCAGTGCCTCATACATATGAGGCAAGCGCTCCACCACTGAGCCAAGACCAGATTTTGGCAATACAAATCGTAGATGGAAGGAAAAGAAAAAAGGTATAGCTAAGAACTAAGGAACCCCTGGGAATAGACAGTAAAAGGAAGATGAAGAGGCAAAGGAAGAATAAAAAAATTTCAACAGACGGAAATGGAAAACCAAGAGACAAAGGTATGAATATACTAGTCTTTTGTCGATAGAAATTAGTTTGACTACCAAATTTTCATTCCAATTTTTATAATCCTACAATGTGTTTGTAAGCTCCTACTTGGGAACTTGTAAAAATAAATTAAATTGATAAGTTGGTATACACTGTATTATGAGTCCAACATTAAGGATATCTCTTATCTTTTGAAATTTCAGTACTTACCTCCTGGGTGAGACAAACATTTTGAATCAATTGAGAGGGACTGTTCATTCACTGTTGTAGTTCAAAGGCAGAGAAGTTTCAGTTTCTCTTCTGAGGGGTCTTAATCAGTTGAGTAGAATGAGTGTTGAGTGAGAGGATGAATCAGATCCCCTCTTGCCAGCAGAGGGGTGAGGTGGTGTGTGTGGTGGGTTTGAGAGCATGGGAAGGATGTCCTGAAGGTGAGTTACTAGCTTGGGTGGGGCGGTGTGACCTATGGTATATTCTATGATGTCATAGTGGCAGGCAGGAACCTCCCTGCTGCCCCCACTCCCCCTTCCCTCACCCCCAGAAGGACCAGGATGTGGAGGGACACTAGGTACCTATCAAAGGTCTCTGAAGGCCTTCTGAAGTTGCTAGATCAGTACTTCTCTTACTGTGCATAAGGATCGCCTGGGGAGCTTGTTCAAGTGTAGATGCCAAAGGGTTGGGAAGTCTCCCAGTTGATAACATCCAGGCCATACTGATTTGTAGGGCTTTAGACTAGTGCTGTCAAAAGAGAAATACATTGTGAACCACATATGCCATTTAGTTTTCTTATAGCCACATTAAAAAAAATAAAATGGACAAACATACTGCACCACAACAATGAAATCTTAACACAATGCTATGGTTCAAGTAGGATAGATCCCTCCCTAAACAATAAAGTAGGGTTCAATGGAAAAAATACATGATTTCCTTTTTAAAATTTAAATTTAAACAAATTCTAGTTAAATAAAATTAGAAATTCAGTAACTCAGTCACACCATCCACATCATAAGGACTCAGTGGCCACATGTGGCTAGTAGCTACTCTATTCAACAGCAGAACTCTGGATCATTTGCTGTAAAGATAATGATGTACAGAGTTTGCCCTTCTAAAGGACTTGGATGCGGGAACGTAGGAGACATTCATTAGCATAATTTTGATGAGTACATAACTTTCTGAGATTTCAAGAGAGGATTTTTGATGTCTCTACTGTTCTAGCTGAGAGTCTGAATGGGTGTCTTCTGCCCTGTGAAACATTTCACACTCAGTCTGAACCTTTATTAGGCACCCCCTTTTCCAAACCCCCATTTGGGTTTCTTCCTTTCCTTTGCCATCACATCTAAATCCTACGCAACCTTCAGGGCATATGACTCCAGGCTCAATATCCTGTTATCCTAGCCCTATCACTGTCTCTTTCCTCTGAGCTCCCATGGCATGTCTGGGCTGGCTGTACAATGGGAGCTTCTTTAAGTGGGGTCTTGAACTCTTTGTTTGCTTTGTGTATGTTACTCTTAAATTCTAAGCTGCTTGAGGACAGAGCCTACTTCACTTCTATGGTGTGTAGTACAGTGTGAAGAGGATAATTCTTGCTTAATAAATATTGATTGTTTTATTAAATTACCTAAGATACCTAAGTAAATGTCTGAGAACATCAGATTTAAAGTGTTGATAACTTGAATAAAAGGGATAATGAGTCTTCTTCTTGGCAAATCTCAACTTGATCAAGATGTCAGTTCTCCATAAATTCATTTATAAATTTAATGTAATCCTAATATGAATACCAAAGAGCATTTTTTTTTTTGAACTAGAGATTGAACCCAGGGGACTTAACCACTGAGCCATATTCCCAGCCCTTTTTTATTTTGAGAAAGGGTCTCATTAAGTTGCTTGGGACCTTACTCAGTTGTTGAGGCTGGCTTTGAACCTGTGATCCTCCTGCCTCAGCCTTCAGAGCTGCTAGGATTATAGGTGTGAGCCACCGTGCCCAGCTCCCAGGAGCATTTTTTAAAGACTATGATTAGTTGATGTTTAAGTTAATTTTTTTTTGTTTTTGGAAAAATCCTTGATATTAGCTAGGAAAACAACAAAAAGGAAGAGCTCTAAGGTAGGACTAACCCTCACTGATATACTACAAAGCCTATAGTATTAAACCATGTGACCTTGGAGCATAACTAGAGAGACCAAAGGAATAGAAGAGGTAAAGAAATAAAAATCAACACGCATAAATCAAAGGCATTCCTATATATCAGCGACAAACCCTCTGAAATGGAAATGAGGACAACCACTCCATTCAAAATATCTTCAAAAAAAATAAAATACTTGGGAATCAACCTAACAAAAGAGGTGAAAGACTTATACAATGAAAACTACAGAACCCTAAAGAGAGAAATAGAAGAAGATCTTAGAAGATGGAAAAATATACCCTGTTCATGGATAGGCAGAACTAACATCATCAAAATGGCGATATTACCAAAAGTTCTCTATAGGTTTAATGCAATGCCAATCAAAATCCCAATGGCATTTCTTGTAGAAATAGAGAAAGCAATCATGAAATTCATATGGAAAAATAAAAGACCCAGAATAGCAAAAACAATGCTAAGCAAGAAGTGTGAATCAGGCGGTATAGCGATACCAGACTTCAAACTATACTACAGAGCAATAGTAACAAAAACAGCATGGTACTGGTACCAAAACAGGCGTGTGGACCAATGGTACAGAATAGAGGACACAGAAACCAATCCACAAAACTACAACTATCTTATATTTGATAAAGGGGCTAAAAGCATGCAATGGAGGAAGGATAGCATCTTCAACAAATGGTGCTGGGAAAACTGGAAATCCATATGCAACAAAATGAAACTGAATCCCTTTCTCTCGCCATGCACAAAAGTGAATTCAAAATGGATCAAGGAACTTGATATCAAATCAGAGACGCGCCGTCTGATAGAAGAAAAAGTTGGCTACGATCTACAGTCGGTGGGGTCGGGCTCCAAATTCCTCAATAGGACACCCATAGCACAAAAGTTAATAACTAGAATCAACAAATGGGACTTACTCAAACTAAGAAGTTTTTTCTCAGCAAAAGAAACAATAAGAGAGGTAAATAGGGAGCCTACATCCTGGGAACAAATCTTTACTCCTCACACTTCAGATAGAGCCCTAATATCCAGAGTATACAAAGAACTCAAAAAATTAGACAATAAGAGAACAAACAACCCAATCAACAAATGGGCCAAGGACCTGAACAGACACTTCACAGAGGAGGACATACAGTCAATCAACAAGTACATGAAAAAATGCTCAACATCTCTAGCTGTCAGAGAAATGCAAATCAAAACCACCCTAAGATACCATCTCACTCCAGTAAGATTGGCAGCCATTAGGAAGTCAAACAACAACAAGTGCTGGCGAGGATGTGGGGAAAAGGGTACACTTGTACATTGCTGGTGGGACTGCAGATTGGTGCAGCCAATTTGGAAAGCAGTATGGAGATTTCTTGGAAAGCTGGGAATGGAGCCACCATTTGACCCAGCTATTCCCCTTCTTGGTCTATTCCCTAAAGACCTAAAAAGAGCATGCTACAGGGACACTGCTACATCGATGTTCATAGCAGCACAGTTCACAATAGCAAGACTGTGGAACCAACCTAGATGCCCTTCAATAGACGAATGGATAAAAAAAATGTGGCATTTATACACAATGGAGTATTACTCTGCATTAAAAAATGACAAAATCATAGAATTTACAGGGAAATGGATGGCATTAGAGCAGATTATGCTAAGTGAAGCTAGCCAATCCCTAAAAAACAAATGCCAAATGTCTTCTTTGATATAAGGAAAGTAACTAAGAACAGAGTAGGGACGAAGAACAGGAGAAGAAGATTAACATTTAACAGGGATGAGAGGTGGGAGGGAAAGGGAGAGAGAAGGTAAATTGCACGGTAATGGAAGGAGACCCTCAGGGTTATACAGTGGAGGGGGTAGAGAGAGAGGAGGGGAGGGGAGGGGAGAGGTGGGGAGGGGGGAGGGTGGATGATGGGAAAGGCAGCGGAGCACAACAGACACTAGTATGGCAATTTGTAAATCAATGGATGTGTAACTGATGTGAATCTGCAATCTGTGTATGGGGTGAAGGTGGGAGTTCATAACCCACTAGAATCAAAGTGTGGAATATGATATGTCAAGAAATTTGTAATGTTTTGAACAACCCACAATAAAAAATTAAAAAAAAAAAAAAAAAAAAAAAAAGAAATAAACACAGCTATGTATGGACCTCCAGTATAAGATGAAGGTGATTCCTGTAATCCTGTAAATGATATTTTAAACAAACATTATTGGGTCAAACTGAATAGCCACTTGGGAAAATTTAAAGAGTTCATTTTTTTTAATATCAAATATAAGAAAACTCCAAATGGATCAGACAGCCGAACTTAAAAATGACATTATACAAGTACTCAAAGAAAGCATAGGTAAATTTCTCTGCAAGATAAATTGTAAAGAAAGGCTTTTAATCATAGTTAAAAATCCGAGTACTTGATAAGAAAAGATTTGATGAATTTGATTCCATAGAACAAAAACAAACCTAATCAAACATTTGAATGACAAAAATCACCCTAAATAAAATTAAAAATGACAAGATTGAAGGAGATATTTATAATCTATATCATAGATAAAAGGCTAATATCCCTATTATATGAAGAACTTTAAAAAATTAAGAATATTCCTATTATATAAAGAACTTTAAAAAATTAAGAAGAAATAAAGATAAAACTTCTCATAAAAATGGGAAAAATTCAGGAACAGATAACTCATAAAAAGAGACATCAAAATGTCCTTAAACATGTGAAAAGCTATTTGATTTTACTTACAATAAGTATAATGCAGAGTTAAACTACCATCACTTATCTGTCAGATTGGCAAAATTAAACAGCTTGGCAACATGCTCTGCTGATGAGACTGTGGGGAATCAATTGCTCTCACACTTTTGGAGGGAATGCAAAATGGCACAACCCTGTGGAGAAGAATTTGGCACTAACAAAACTGCATTTGTATTTATCTCTTGACCCAGGAGTCACAGTTTTAGGGATTTATCCTGAAAGTATACCTCCCATAATATTAGAATGGTGTGCATGAAATCATTCATTACAACAGTATATAAAATTGTATAACATTTAAAACTACCTAAATATGAAAGCAACAAAACACTAAACACTAATGAGAGAGAGAGAGAGAGAGAGAGAGAGAGAGAGAGAGAGAGGAAGGAGG